AGTCCCACACTGACTCCCCTGGGACACCTCCCAGGATGCATGATTGTCACCTGGCATTTGACGCTTTGCCTAATTTTAATAATGGTCTCACCTAATTGTAATTATTAGGGTGACTCTGTTAATATTCAGCACCATTTTTTTTAAAGCTATGTATTTCTTCACCAAATTGAATGTCATGGATGAGTTATCTTCTATGAAGGATAATTTGTCCTGTCCTCATTTAACACCTGTAGTCACGAGTTTGGCTTCTACCAGGTCCTTCTTCTGGGAGCTTGACCTGTCCCAGATTGTGGGAAGGCAAGAGGGAGGTCATACAGTCACTCCCACTGCAATGCAGAGGAGTGACTCAGAGCTGGAGCCGTGCTCTCAGTCAGACAGAGATTTCTACAACCTCTGTACCAAGCCCCTGCTTCTTAAGCATTAAAATGCCGTCCCTCACCTCTGGGGATTTGTGGGTATGTTTCAGCCAAGCTAACCACTTTCCTGCCAATACTGACTTTCCTGTAAGTTCTTTGAAGATCACTGAGTCGGATAAATAAAGTATACCTTTAACCTCTGAGACTTTTAATGTACTAACAGCCCACTGAAATGAAAAGTTCTTCACCAACTCATACTTCTAACAACGTTGCATGTAAATATATATTAAAATGTGTACTTAAGGAATGTGACTCTGTTCATCCCCAGGAAATCAGAATCAGACAGCCTGAGGTTTACATTCATCAAGTCACTTTACAAAATCCAAACCCTGATGGGTGGTTCATAGGTTCCACTCTCTGAGGCCTGCTTTCTTGACTGGCTAGCTCAGGCTGGAGTCTGTGGAAACACTGATCCAGACTTCCAAGAAAACCACACTCCATGGACTGTCAGAAACAAGGACACATTTGGGTGACAAAAGCCCCTTTGCAATTGCATTTTATCTTTGTGTTCTCATTTGAATCAAGATTTGAAAAAGTGGAGGAGGAAATGTCAACCCACTCCAGTATTCTTGCCTGTGAAATCTCATGGGCAGAGGATCCTGGTGGGGGACAGTCCCTGGGGTTGAAGAGTTGGACACCACTTAGCAGTTGAGTACAACTGAAAAACACAGCCTGCAAGCTATTGAAACATACCCGATATTGTGGTCGAGTGAAGGGAACTTTAAGAAGCTAACACTCACGGTTTTTAAGACGGTCTTTCCCCTATTGTTTCACTTATTTCCCCCTGTCAGGTCATCTGTTTCTTTAGAGGAACAAGAAGTCAAAGTAGGTTACTTGGTCGAATGTGTGGCTAAAGAAGTAAAAAAGAGCGGAAAAAGGGACTCTCCCGTTCAGTGGAAGGACTTGCGGTTGCTCACAGACTTGGAGAGGTACACCAAGTCCTCACCGGTAGGCGCACCAGGGGACAGAAAGCAGGCTGAGACAGTTTACGGTTGTTGTTTGCCGTTTATTGTTCCGCACGTAAACCTCATGAGCACCAGGTGGCGATGTCCACTCACAGAGCAACACCAAGGAATTCAAAACACACCAGTTACAGTGATTTACAACAGGACACTCACCCGCTCTTCCCCAGAACCACCCCCGCCCCACCATCAATGCCAGGGACCACAGACAAGGAAAAGAGGACAGGGCCCTTCCTTGTACCACACAGGACCTCCCCCCAACAATCTCATGCCCACAACACCAGGACGAGCACTTGGGACGAGGCGTGAAACCACAGAGAAGCCTAGGCATCAAAAGGGGGATGAAAACACAAAGGCAACTACACACACACTCACACGATCCACCTTTCAAGGGATGAGCACTAACAGGGTTTGTCTCCAGTCCCACGTGTCCTCCCTGGAGACTCGGGAGGGGAGAAACGAGGCTGCTGGTGCTAAGAGATGAGCGGACCGGCGTGGGATTCCCTGCACGGGGCAGGGAACACAGCAGGGCTTCCAGCGGGAGGACTTCCTGCGTCCGAGTGATGGATGCGCAGGACCTCTGGCTCTCGCCCAACCCAGGGCTGTACCTTTCCAGGTTGGCATGAGAGAGAGGGCAGAGGCATGCCCCTCCCACCCTCCTCGCCTGGCACAGTGTTATAAGGGACATGAACGATTCCTTCTGCCCAGAAAGTCCCACTAGAAGAGCAGCAGATGAGGTAGCCCCTACGAGCATCTCGGGAAGAGACACAGGCCATCAGTACAGTCGGCATCCTGAGAGCAGGAGGCTGGAGGGTGTGAAAACGACTCTCAAAGGGTCACCGCCTGCCTGCCTTTTCCCTGCAGCCTCTTCTTTCTGCCCTGGGCCCGGCTCCTTCTCCACCCGCACCTTCTTCCGCCCGACCCAGGGAAATCAGTCTCTCTGCCAGTTACCAGTCTCCCTTCTCGCCCCACCTCCCGCCACAGCGCTCTGTCTACCCGCCGACTGTGGGTGTGTTTCCGCGTTCCTGTGAGTGAGGAGCCTGGAGATCTTGGACAAGGATGCCAAAGGAGGGTGGGGGTGTGACCGGGCTTACGATGAAGCCCATCTCTGGCACAGGGTGGTCCGGCAACGGGCTTGGGCTGACATCAAACGCTAAGGGATGGCTCTCCCGTTGAGTTCGGATATTTCCTTCCCGGCTGCGGCAGGAAACTGCCCGGAAGTGCAGTGGGCTGGAGGCCAGTCTCCTGGTCTGCTGGTGAGATAAATGACTGATGGGTGAGGCTGGAAGGCCTCCCGCCAGAGCGCCCTTCGCTGGAGCTAACTGATATCCCCAGAACAACTTGGCGACTAAAACTTTCACGTCTTCCGCCACGTGGAAGAGGAGGACGAGCTCAGCACCAGTGCACCCCAGGAACGGGGTGACACCCGAGCGAACCCCCTGGCCACCTCCCGTCAGAATGTCTGCAGGCCTGAGAGCAGGACACTGAGCCGGCTCTCGGAGAAGCTTCGCTGCCGCTTCTAACTTCAGTACCGCGTCTGAAGGCTTTTCCATTTCTCTAGCATTGAAAACCTTCCAAATACTATGAAATATATGTGTGTGTGTATATATATATATATATATATATATATATATATATATACATATATATGTCAGACCCCCAGACACGAGGTATATAAATTTGAATCAGGATCCAGAGGAACTTTCCCCAAACACGGAGTTCAGAGGATCCACTTTCAAAGGCGGCAGAATTGGGGTTCCCTTCTTCACCCCCCATCTTTCCTCTCTGACCCCCAATTGTCTCCTTCATGGGAGCGGAAGGGAATGTTGGGGAGAGGACAGGCAGGGTCTTGGGACATAACCCGGACATAGGTTGGACTGGACCCCAAGGTGGTCCCGACCCTGCTGGAAAGGGCTGGAGGCTCCCTCCTGCACTGGGCCAGCCGGTCATTGAAGAGGGAGATGAGGGTCCCTGCACCCCCTCCAGGCTCATTAGACAACGTGCACGGAGACCCGCTGAGGTCCTCGTGGACAGGCTCAGATCCGGCCTGTATATCTGAGAGAGAGATACACAGGGGTCCGTCCAGCCTGCACCCTACGCATCCCCCAAGCACAGCTCTGTCTCGGTCTGGGTTCACGTTGACTACGGACGGATGTCAGACGGTGAGGCACGTCCACAGACCGCCTCCTGGCTGTTTCATTCCCATCAGAACTGGGGTCCGACAGTTTGCAGAACCAGAGTGTGAGATCATGATGGGACCCTCCGCCACCCTGGCTGAGCGGCGGAGCCTGGCTGAGCGGCGTGCACACTCACATGCGCACACACAACGCCCACAGATGGCGCGAAGGCCAGCCTGGGCCCCACTCACAGTGACTGGATGAATCACACGGAATCTCTGAGCTGGTCTGGGATGAGTTGGAAGGGCTGGGCTCCTCTCCCTGAGGACTAATTCAGACGCTAAGTGGGACGCAGGCTCTGGTCTGATCAGAGAGGGGCGGGATACATCGTGCCCCTGAGAGGAATCCCAGAGTCCTTCCGTCTGCATAAGAGAATCGGATGCCTCTTTGGACAGGGCAGAGGGGTGGGCGGGAGGCGGGAGCAGCCAGGACAGTGACGGGAGCTGAGATGCTCCCGGAAGCCCTCGCTGCTTGAACCTTCTTAGCGAGAAGCACTTCCTCGCTGTACATCGAGGCATCGGCTGCCGATGTCGCAGCAGTTCGGCGGTTCACCCCTTTGCCCCTCAGTCTTGCACAGTGAGAGCTCCTCACCTTCAGGGGAGGAGAGAAAAGTAGAGACTCTGCTCTCCAAGCAGAGTGGAAGCAGCAAGAAGCCGGCAGAGACGAGCGCCTTGGACTTCACAAGGCCAGGGTAAGGGGTGCCCTACCCCACATGTGCTGACTGTGCCCCCTGCTGGTGGGGAATGTGAGGGGAGGAGTCCCTGCCTACCCAGCACCGAAACTCCACGGGAACAAACGGAAGGCGGCCCTCACCCCGTCCCGTGGCCCCTGCATGTTGGATGAGGTTTGTGAATGACATCCCCTTATTCACTCTGGCTCCCCGCTGAGGCCGGAAGGATGGGGGATGGAGCCCGCACAGGGGGCTCGGGAGGGCATGGTACCAGCTTCCACCCTGACTCCCCTCACTTCTTGCCCTGTGGTCCCCACACCCCTGCCAGCCCGAAGCCCGTCCCCCCCAGCTCAGTCCTTCTCCTGGGCAGCGCTGTCCTCGGAAATGCCCTGGGCGGCCAGCTCGGCCAGCACATTATCCAGGTAGTTGGCGTCTGGGTAGCCGTGGCCGGTGAGGTTAGAGCCGAACTCTGTCTTGTGATGGACCTCATTCCAGATGACGGTGTCTGACTCGCCCGTGGTGCTGGATGTCCCGATGGCGAAGATGAGGCGGCGGTCCCAGGCCACGAGCAGCAGCTTCAGGACCTGAGCGAAAACGGGAGAGATCAGCGCCAGACACGCTGTGCTCAAAGACCATCCGCGGGGAGGATGCGCTCCCCACCCTGGGGCCCCAGCCCTCCCCGCACGATAGTGCTCCAAGCAGCACAGGGAAAGGACAGGAATTGGGAAGTGGAGTCAGGGACCTGGCAGGTTCAGGCTTGACTCTGTCATGGACCAATCATGAGGCCCTGGACAAGTTACATGACATCTCTGAGCTTTCAGTGGTACCACTTACCCCCAAAGGTTGTGAGCATCTTAAGGGGGCCCTACATGAGAGTGGTTTCACAGCAGCGCCTGATGTATCCACTCAACTAAGGTTAGGGCCCAGAATCATGCATGCTAAGTCACTTCACTCGTGTCCAACTCTCTGCGACCCCATGGACCATAGGCCATGGGGCTCCTCTGTCCATGGGATTCTCCAGGCAAGAACACTGGAGTGGGTTGCCACGCCCTCCTCCAGGGGATCTTCCCAACCCAGGGATGGAACTCGTGCCCCTTACATCTCCCGCACTGGCAGGTGGGTTCTTTACCGCTGGCACCACCTGGGAAACCAGCATCATAGATGCATTTAAAAAGTTGGGATCTAGGAATTCGAGGGTCTTAGGAACAACCTGAGATCTTCTGAGCCGTGCCCACCACCCCCAGCCATGCCCTCTTACACCAGGAGATGTAAGAAATGTGAGTTTGATCCCTGGGTTGGGAAGATCCCCTGGAGGAGAGCATGGAAACCCATTCTAGTATTCTTGCCTGGACAATCCCATGGACAGAGGAGCCTCGTGGCCTACAGTCCATGGAGTCACACACACCACCGGAGTGTGACATTAACTGATTCACAGCTAAAGTTGTGCAATGCTCCTCAAGGGACATGGTAGAAGTGTTTGGCCTCGTCCAGGCCACTTCATAGTTATTTTTTCATCCGATCCTCACAACCACCCTGGGCTGTGAGGGAAATCCTAGTGCGAGGTCTGGCAGGGGCTATCATTACCTCTGAGTTATGGGTGAGGCTCACAGACGTGCCAGGACTTGCAGAATGTTTTAACTCAGCTACACTGGAAAAGAGTCTTGGTTGAGGAAGACAAATGCCTGACACCCTGACCAGTGTGAAGAAGGCACCTGATAAAAATGCACTGGGTTCAAAACCAAACGACTGCAAACATGATGTGAGCTGGAGGTGAGGAATCTTAATAGTGATCAGACTGGCAGGGGCTTCCTAGTGGCTTGGTGGTCAAGAATCTGCCTGCCAGTGCAGGAGATGTGGGTTCGATTCCCGATCCAGGAAGATCTCACAGTCCTCGGAGCTCATGAGCCATGACCATTGACCCCGTGCTCTAGTGTCCAGGAGCCACAACTACTGATCCCTTGTGCCCCAACAACAGAACCTCTTGCACCCCAGAGTCCATGCTCTGCAATAACAGAAGGCACTGCAGCTAGAGAAAAGTCTGTGCTGTGAAGAGCCAACATGAAGACCCAGCACAGTCAAAAAAGAAAAAAAGACTGGAAGATGCTGAAACTAAGAGCTACCATTTCCTGAGTGCTTACTAAGTGCCAGGCTCTGGTTCACCTATTGGTCCTAACAGTTGTCTATGACAGGATGCTCATTATCCCTTCTCTGCGGAAGAGGAAACAAGTTCGAAAGATAACAGATGGGTCTGGGTCATGCAACTTGAAAGTGCCAGAGCAGGGCCCTGACTTCAGGACTGCCTGCCTTTACATTCTGGTCTCAGTCACGACTCTGCTGACCTGCAGGTGGGCATCAGGATAGAATTCACGGAGGGGATGCTTGTGAGCTGAGTCTCAGAGAATGGGTAGGATTTGAGGTGTATTAACAGAGAAGAATGTACAGGGGCAGGAAAGACATGTCATCCAAGGCATAGCTCATGGCTGCCACCACACTGGGCACTTCACAGATACTTATTGTTGTTATTACTTAGTTGTTAAGTTGCATCATACTCTTCTGTGACCCCACGGACTGCAGCCCGCCTGGCTCCTCTGTCCATGGAATTTCCCAGGCAAGAACACTGGAGTAGATTGCCATTTCCTTTTCCAGGGTATCGTCCCAAACCAGGGATAAAATTCACATCTCCTGCCTTGGCCAGTGGATTCTTTACCACTGAGTCACCAAGGAAGCCTTTCATCAATGCTGTATGTGCTAGTCGCTCAGCTGTATGCGGCTCAACAACTCCTTAGACTGTAGCCTGACAAGCTCCTCTGTCCATGGGATTTTCTAGGCAAGAGTACTGGAGTGGGTTGCCATTTCCTCCTCCAGGGGATCTTCCCGACCCAGGGATTGAACCCAGGTCTCCTGCATTGCAGGCAGATTCTTCACAAATGTGAAGAAACTCTTCACAAAGAAGAATTCATTTAATTCTTACAACATCCTGTCCACAGAGCTAGAAATGATCACACTCTTTCAAAGACTGGGAGACTGAGACTTAAATCAGTTTCATGTCCATTTCCCACATGTGGTAAGCAGCAGGAGTAGGATTTGAAGCCAGGCTGGTCTGGGTTCAAAGCTTACGCTCTATCACCTTGCTCTGCAAAGGAGCCCAGAGTGAGGGTCTGAGAACAGCAGGCATGAGGGGATAAAGGCGAGGAATTGGTGGGAAGGGACAATTCAGACCCAAGTTGTGGGAGGTCTTGTCTACTGAACCGAGAAAATGATCCTTGTAAAGAAGGAAGGGAAACCATCCTAACAGTTTTGCGTTGTTTTCTCTCACTTTATTTCCATTAAACAAAGGAGACTGATGTGAGAAACTGTGTTTCAGGATCACTATTCTGGCGACAGAATAGTTTGGAGGATTAGGAAAAGATTCAAGTGGTCCAGAGGGCAGCACAGGGAGGAATGTGTGGCTCAAGGCCAGAATCTATGATGTTCATGCATCCAACCTGGTTCCAGGGATACAGAACATAGTAAGTCCCCTAGATATGAGTGAGTTCTGTCCAGATAGCGTATCCGTAAGTCCAATGTGTTCATAAGTCCAACCCAACTAACACAAACAGCTATACAGTACTGTACCATAATAGTAGTTTATAATACTTTTCACACAAACAATACATGAAGAACAAACAAAAAATAAGGAAAACATTTTTAATCTTACAGTACAGTACCTCGGATGTGAGAGTTGGACTATAAAGAAAGCTGAGCACCAAAGAATTGATGCTTTTGAACTGTGGTGTTGGGGAAGACTCTTGAGAGTCCTTTGGACTGCAAGGAGAGCCAACCAGTCTATCATAAAGGAAATCCGTCCTGAATATTCATTGGAAGGACTGATGCTGAAGCTGAAGCTCTGATACTCTGGCCACCTGATGGGAAGAACTGACTCATTTGAAAAGACCCTGATGCTGGGAAAGATTGAGGGCAGGAGGAGAAGGGGACGACAGAGGATGAGATGGTTGGATGGCATCACCGACTCGATGGACATGAGTTTGGGTGGACTCCAGGAGTTGGTGATGGACAAGGAGGCCTGGCGTGCTGTGGTTCATGGGGTCGCAAAGAGTCGGACATGACTGAGCGACTGCACTGAACAGAACAGCACCTTGAAAAGCCTACAGTACGACAGCTGGCACAGGGGCTGGCATCGAGTGGACAGGCCAGAAGAGTCACTGATTAGAGGAGGGAGAGGACGTGGGAGGCGGTGGAGCTGAGGGACTGTCAGCAATAGGAGACAGGGGAGCTGCAATGTCACTCACACCTGATGCTCGTGGAACGCACGTGTGTGTCTTCGAAAGTTCACAACTTGGAGGTTTGCATGTAGGGGACTTACTGTATGTCATTAACACAAAGAAGGACCTGGTGGAGAAACAGCTCTTTGCAAGAGGATTCCAGTTTTAACCATGGGACTTGATGGTGGGGTCGTTTAGCCAGCAGTTGGGGCTGCAGGCCTCGGGTGTAGAGACTTGTTGGCTCTGGGCAAAGGGGTGCCAGGACTGGCCCTGACTCCTAATCTGGGGACACTGTGCTGGGCACCTCTTCAGGATGACATGGTTGATTCTCTTGTTGTCCCAGACTCCCTCCTTCTCCCGCCGTGAGAGACTCCAGGCACACTCTTTGCCAAGGAGCCTCCTGGTAAGCAGGACACCAGCTCCTGGTCTGGCTCACTCGTGACTTGCGGGAGCCTATGAGAGGTACGGGGCTTCCCTGGTGCTGCAGATGGTAAAGAATCTGCATCCCAATGCAGGAGACATGGGTTCAATCCCTGGGTCAGAAAGATCCTCTGGAGGAGGAAATGGCAACCCGCTCCAGTATTCTTGCCTGGGAAATCCCATGGACAGAGGAGGCTGGCGGGCCTCCATGGTATCCATGGGGTCACAAAAGAATCGAACACAACTTAGCACAACTGTTGAACAGCTAAACAGCATGAGCAGAAGTAACAAGCTTCAGGGGGAAGCTTTGGTGGGATTGTACACTCCACTTGGATTCCCTCTCGGTCCTCTGTCCCATTCCACTGGGGCGGGGGGGGCGGGGGGGAATGGACCACGGAAGCAAAACTCTTTCTCCCTGAATTTTAGAACTGGATCCGTGAAAGCTAACCCACAGCAGCCACTGGGACACCATCAGTAACTCGCAAACTGTATGAGAAATAAACGTGGTGGCGGAAGCCACCGAGATTTACAGGCCATTTGTTACATGCCACGACCTAGAGAGTGCTAACCAAGACGCATCTCTTGGCCAATAAATCAACAGTTCTTTTCGCTTTCAAGATCAGGAAAGGTTTTTAAAAACCCAGTGATTTTTCTGGACTTACCCACAGAAAAAATGAACATGAAGTTGTAATTTTAACTTTCGAGTTCATGGAACCACTGAAGCCATCCCAGGAATCATTAGGAATCCAGAAACCCAGAGATTTTCCCTCTGCTGTTTTGGGGAAAGTCAAAGCATTCATTGACTGAGTCCCTAGTAGCTCAGTGGTAAAGAACCTGCCTGCCAATGCCAGCAACTTGGGTTGGATCCCTGGGTCGAGAAGATCCCCCGGAGAAGGAAATGGTAACCCACTCCAGTGGGTTATTATTATTATAATTATTATTACTCTTGCCTGGAAAATCCCATGGACAGGGAAGGTTAACAGGCTACAGTCCCTGGGGTCACAAAGTCAGCCATGACTTAGCAACTAAATAACAACAAAAATATTCATTACAGAAAAAGTAAAATGCCACAAGTTAAGATCCTTGCCCCAGAGCAGTGCTTCCCAAGCGTTCAGGTGCTGTCAGGCCACCTGAGATCTGGTTAAAATGAAGTAGGTTCTAAGGTCCTGTATTTACATCGAGCTCCCAGGTGTTGCTACTACTGCTCTTCCCAGGACCTGCCATTAAGCAGCAAAGCTCTAGAGAAAGATTTTTAAAATAGATGAATTATTGCCCATAAAATCCAGGAGAGAAAAAAGCCAAAAGTCCAGCCCCCACCATCCTACAAAAATAAAATTGTAATCATATCTTTTCACACCTCTAGCTGACTGGACTATGACTTGGGACTTTTTTATTTTGACCCAGACCATTTGTAAAGTCTTTATTGAATCTGTTACAATATTGCTTCTGTTTTCATTTTGGTGATTTGGCTGCAAGGCGTCGGGGATCTTAGTTCCCCGACCGGGAACCGAACCTGCACCCTTGCATGGGAAGGCGGAGTTGTGACGCTGGACGATCAGGGAAGTCTCTCTATGGTGACTTGATTACAGGGGTGCCTAGAGTTCAGAAACCCAGCTCTGTTCAGCACCACAGGGAGCAGAGCTGGGGCCAGGACGCTGATACCTGCCCTCACCTTTCTCCCTTTCTCGCTGTCCGGGAGGTAACAGTGTCGAGGGAAGCCACGGGCGCTGAAGCTTTTCCCAGGATTTGGGTGTTCTGGCCCCTGAAAGCAAAAAGAGAGCAAAGAGCATTTTAAAAAGTCTTTCAGATAAGGGTTGTGATTGACCCAAATACTAATGGATAAAAATATTACTATCCAAATAATAATAGTCATCGGGTCTAGACAGAGAACAGACCCAAAGAGCGATGGGGTGGTGGTTTAACACATACTGGAGTTCTTGGACCTGGGTCAGGACTCAGAGCTGGGGCCTTCCAGCTGTGTGAGCCGGAGCTGCTGTCTCTGGGGCTGTTGGTGTCCCAGCCCTCAAGGGGGGAAGACGGGTGATGCTCACCTTGTAGGATGTGATGTTAGGTGAGCCTGGGGCACTCTCACAGCCCAGGAGCTGTTTATATCATCTTCGTCAGCATCTCTTCCAGCTCTTTTGTTTCACAAAAGAGGAGAACTGAAGCCCCAGAGGTTAAATGACTTCCGTACTGTTAACAGCTTTGCCAAAACCTCTGCCCAGGTTTCCTGGCACGCACTCTGGATTGTTTCACTGCTGAACTACTCAGAATGACCCAAGTGCTTCTGAGCTCTGAGCCAAGGGCCGAGAGATCTGAAGGACCCGAATGACTCTCGGGGATTTTCTCCTAGGTCCTCATGGGTTTTGCTTTCTTTTCTTATTGAATGATATGCCTTGGCATCTGCATGACTAAAAAGCTCCTAAGATTTCAACTGTCACCAACCAACACCCCTGTGAAGCAAGCCTTCTCAGGCCATCAAGTGAGAAAGAAACTGAATCAGAGTTTAGCCAAAAGCCAGTCTTCCTAATCAGGGTTCAGAATGGTCTACAGGCCCGTTTGAGAAGCTCATGAAAAATGAGGGATTTCCTCCCAGTATCAATACACATATTTCCCCTCTACACACACATGCTTGTCTATCATTTCTGAGCAGCCCAGCCCCTCCTCAGAGGGGATGAAACTCTGTTTTGAAGTCCCTACTAGATAAAGCCAGTATAATATGGATGATTCCAATTGCTGCTGGCACAAGCCCTCACACAGGAGACCAGTATCTCCCGGCTGAACAAAGGAATGAGTGAGCAAATGAGTCATAACCAAACTGCAAGAAAACACAGATTTCCCATTTTCCCTACCATACATGACAGTTCCAAAATGACTTAACAATCATGTGATTAAAACAAACATGAATGGCGTGATTCAGACTGTCTGTGATTTTGCAAACTGAGCAGTATGTGTCCAGTGAGGCCTCAGGGAAGGAGAGATTACAGGGGTCAGAAAGAGGCAGCAGTGTCTTTTGGGGGGCGCAGGACCGGACACTTCTGGATTTCACATTTGCGTGAAAGCACATTGACAACACTCCCACGGCCAAGGCTGTTTCTAAGCCAGGCTGGACAACTGGTGGCCAGTTCTGACCATGGCTCTGCTCCCCTTCCACCAGGGCCTTGCCTGTCGTGTGGCCAACGCAGACGCCTGCCTGGCACCAGCTAAGCTCAGAAGTCACAACGTGCCCAGGGCGCACGCATAGCTTCTCCCAGGAGAATCATCTCCTGCAAGGAAGGCAGAGCTTACAGGTCCTCACTTCTCACTTCTCATGACAACCCAAGCCCGCATGGCCCTAGGAGTCTCCAGGGATGGACGTGGCACGTCAGGACAGTGCCCTTCAACACAAGCCTGGGTTTTCCTGGGGGAACCGTGGTGCCTACAGAGGCAGCAGGTGGGCACCTCTGGACCCTCGTGCGGGCTCTCCACCCTCTGGTCCTGAAGCCCGGAAAAAACCCACATCCTCCCAGGTGGTTTCCCCACCCCACACTTTGCCCCCTGCAGTCTGTCCTGCTTCCCACCAAGGACGCGGGCTGTTTCTCGAGATTCCCATATTTCCATTCATTTACCCATCAGCCCCTTTGGCAGCCCTAGAGTCACCCCCAAAGTCTCATTTGTCCTCATATCCAACTGCATTGCCCTGGTCCAGAGCCCTCCTGAGGTCACTGCCAGAAGCAGTGGTCCCCTAAGTGGGCGGTCAGGTCATCTCTACTCTTTGGCCAGACTGGCTTTGCTAAAGTATCATCCCAACCACGTGACCTCCCATGACCCTAACCACCCGCCCAAAGACCTTCAAGGACCAGCCGTGCCCCCAGCCTGCTGAGGAGAGTCCACGGTCCCTGCCCCAGAGGTCAGGGCCTCCCCTGACCGGGTCACTGTCTCCTCCCCCTGCCTGCTCCCTCCTCCTCCCCACCACCCGGGCAACTCAACCCAAATTAAACTTCTTCACGGGCCTCCTACCGCCCTCCTGTCTCTCCTCGGAAACTCTGCTGTTTCCGACTAAAAATGGTCCTCCTTCCTGGTCGCCAGAGGGAAGGGCTAGTTCGGGAGTCTGGGATGGACATGCACACACTGCTGTGTTTAAAATGGACAGCGTAGCAGCTGTTCACTGTTACATGGCAGCCTGGAAGGGTGGGGAAAACGGATTCGTGTACATGTGTGGCTGAGTCCTTGGCTGTTCACCTGTAACTCTCACAGCACTGTTAATCGGCTATATCCCAGTATAAATGAAAAAGTCAAACAAACAATATAACACTAAAAACTTTCTCTTCCATTTCTTCATGTCTTTGCCCTACTACCGAGGGCCCTGCCCCAGAAAGGTTCCTCTGACTGTCCCAGACAGACAGACAGACAGACGTAGGCCCTCTTCCTTGCCCTGACAAGTAGGATACCCAAAAATGATGGAGGCCAGGTACTGAGCACCTTGGTCTTGTGCCTGGGATCTTCATGTGCACCCTCAAACATTATCACCCATCTTTACAAAACCCCTGCATATTGGCTTCCTGGTTGTGCAGGTAAAGAAACACAGCTCAGGAGAGTCAAGCGGTCAAGGTCTAAAATCCCCTGCGAAGGAGAAAATCATCCAAAGATCAGAACCCGGGTCCATCAGACTCTGAAGTCCTTGTCTTATCTCTGTCCCTTTGTCCACCCTGCTTTCCACATCTTTTACCAATGGTGCACATCAGTTTTTACTCTAGAGCTTAGTGACGTGTACTTATTTCTTCTTGACTAGTTGCTAAGTCCTTCAAAGAAGAACCGTGTTTTTTATTCAGTTCTTCTGCAGGCTGTTACATTTCCCTGTTTTATTTCTTCCTAGTCCCAGTAGAAGGGGGACTTCGGAGGAGTAAAGATTGTGTCTGTGTCACTCACCACTATTCCTCTAGCACTTAGTTTGCCCTACAGTTGACACTCAAATATTTGTTAAATAAAAGAAAACGGAGGAAGGCAAGGAGGAAGGAGGAAAGGAGGATAAACTAATAAATATTTGGTAAATAAAGGAATCCAGGGAGCCCCCAGAACATTTAGAAAAAGCTTCAATGTGTGAAGGAAGCGACACATTTGTGTCTGGTGTTGTTCCGTCACTCAGTCAGGTCCTACTCTTTGTGACCCCATGGACTGTGGCCCACCAGGCTCCTCTGTCCATGGGATTCTCCAGGCAAGAACACTGGAGAAGCCACGCCCTTCTCCAGGGGATCTTCCTGGACCAGGAATGGAACCCACATCTCCTGCATTAGCAGCTGGATTCTTTACCACTAAGCCACCTGGGAAACCCCACATCTATATTTACTGCCAGGGAAATTGTTCAGTTTCTTCCTCTGGGCTGTCTTTAGAAGAATCCCAAGAAGAAAGACATGCCCACAAAAGTCAAGGACTATCAACTTACACGTGCAAATACCGTCTGACAAAAAAGATTCCACTTCTAGAAAATTATTCTATGGAGATACTCATAGGCGAGAGGTTATTCATTATGGCATTATTTGTTAAAGCAAAACATTGGAAACAATCCTATACGTCCATCACATGGAAACTGCTGAATACAGATTATGGTCCCTTTATACAAGGGATGATTATGCAAAGCTAAGCAAGAATGCGGAAGTTCTCTATGGACATGGGAAGATCTACAGTCTATATTGTGCCTTGAAAATACAGCTTGCAGAACAATGAGGTGGGTACGTCACCCTTTGTGTGAAGCCAGGAGGAGTGGAAGAAGTCTTTGCTGCAAATGCACACAGAACCCTGGAAGGATGCATAAGAAAGTAAGGACAGCGGTGGTGAGGGGGAGGGTGAGACAGGATGCAGGGGCCCCAGGGTGGGAAGGAGACTTACCACAGCGTAGCATCGTCTTAGCAGCTCAGGCTGCTCTAGAATGACAGCAAAATAACAGAAATTCATTTTTCACAGTTCTTGAGGCTGGGGAGTTTAAGACCAAGGTGTTGGCAGATTCAGTGTCTGATGAAACTCTACCACGTAAACTGTTTGCTTCCACAGGTTCACAGCTGGAGACGAAGTGGCCTCAGGATGAATTATACCTTCAGTCTCATCTCACTGTGGTTTAGATGATATTTAAAAAGACTTTGGACTTACATTTTAAAGTGCATGCTGGGGCCCTTCCCTGGCTGTCCTGGGGCTAAGACTCCTCACAGCCAAAGCAGGGGACCCGAGTTCAATCCCTGGTCAGGGAACTAGATCCCACATACCACAACTAAGACGCCGAGCAGCCAAATAAATAAACAAACACTTTTAAAAAATAATTAAAGTGGGTGCTGGACTGTGCTAAGACTTTGAGGACTACTGGGATGGGATGAATGAATGTATTTTGTGGGTAGGAAGGACACAAATTTTCAGAGGCCAGGGGCAAAAAGCTATAGATTGAAAGTCTGGATTCCCACCAAAATTAATATGTTGAAATCTCACCCCCAATGTGATGGCATTAGGAGCTGGGAGTGTCCCGCGGTGGGGGCGATTAGGTGAAGCCATCATGAATGGGGTTGTGTGTGTGTGTGTGTGTGAGTCAGTCACTCGTGTCCAACTCTTTGCAACCCCATGGACTGTGGCCCGCCAGGCTCCTCTGTCCATGGGATTCTCCACACAAGAAGACTGGACTGGGTTGCCATTTCCTTCCCTGATGAATGGGGTTAGCACCTCATAAAGCAGACACTAGACAGCTCCCTCACCCTATGGTCACGTGAGGACAGAGTGAGAGGATGGTCTACGAACCAGGAAGAGGGTTCCACCAGACCCTGAGTCTGCTGGCACTTTGATCTTGAACATCTCAGCCTCCACAAGTATGCAAAATAAATTTCTGCTGTTTAAAAGCAGGAGATGGGGATTGACATATATGCACCACTATATATAAAATAGATAATTAATAAGGAACTACTACATAGCACAGGGAACTATACTCAGCACTCTGTAATGACCTATATGGGAAAAGAATCTAAAAAAGAGTGGATATATATAAATATATAACTGCAACCATGAAATTAAAGAGACCTGCTCCTTGGAAGTGTCACTGGCACTTTGATCTTGAACATCTCAGCCTCCACAAGTATGCAAAATAAATTTCTGCTGTTTAAAAGCAGGAGATGGGGATTGACATATATGCACCACTATATATAAAATAGATAATTAATAAGGAACTACTATATAGCACAGGGAACTATACTCAGCACTCTGTAATGACCTATATGGGAAAAGAATCTAAAAAAGAGTGGATATATATAAATATATAACTGCAACCATGAAATTAAAGAGACCTGCTCCTTGGAAGTGTCCATGGGGTCGCAAAGAGTCAGACACGACTGAGCAAAGAACAGCAACAGCTGAACCACTCTGCTGTGCACCTGAACCTAACACCACACGGGATATCAGCTGTCATCCAATAATTTTTTTTAAAGTCTGTGTTTTTTGTTCTCCTTTTACATTTTATATGGGTGCATGTGTGCTAAGTCACCTCAGTCACGTCCGACTCTTTGTGACCCCATGGACTGTAGCCCGCCAGGCTCCTCTGTTAATAGGATTCTCCAGGCAAGAATACTGGAGTGGGTTGTCGTGCCCTCCTCCAGGGCATCTTCCTGACCCAGGAACTGAACTGGGGTCTCCTGCGGCTCCTAAACTGCAGGCGGATTCTTCACTACTGAGCCCCGGGGAATAGTTGGTTAACCATGTTATGTGAGTTTCAGGTGTACAGAAAGATGGGTTGGACATGAACACATTCTGTGTTTTTCCTTGGTTACAGCGGCCTAGGTGAACTAAAGACAAACACTGACCTGCAAACATTTAAACGTGAAGTCATAAAAGCCAGTGGCCAAGGGTGGGCTGACCTGAATGCCGGGGGGGATGCTGTAGATGATCCGGATGGTTCTGCAGTCCGGATGCCCAGGCAGGGAGTGGGGGATGACGTGGTACTCCATTTTCCCCGGAGGCTGCGTGCCCGTCTTCACCCCATAAATGGTCTTACACGTCGGACACTGCAAACTCCCATCCTGAAGAGACAAGGCCCGAACCTCTAGTGTGGGAAACAGCTTTGGTCAGGACCACCCCACCCAACCTGGAAAGGTACCAGAGATAAAGGGCTGGTGTGTGAGTCCCTCTGTCGTGTCTGACTCTTTGTGACCCCACGGACTGTAGCCCACCAGCCTCCTATGTCCATGGGATTCTCCAGGCAAGAAGACTGGAGTGCGTTGCCATGCTCCTCTCCAGGGGATCTTCCCAATCCAGGGATGGAACCCCGGGTCTCCTGCATTGCAGGCAGAATCTTTACTATCTGAGTCACCAGGGGAGCCCCCAAAAGTTGGGGTCAGGGGCAAAATGCACCCACACCAGTATAGATCTTAGCTGCTCCCCTGCATGGCCACTGAAAGCTGAAGTTTTCTCCAAAGCAACAGGAGGAACTCTATACCAGCCCCATGCTCCATGCTCAGGGACGTATAAGAAAGACCTCATCCTTAAGAGGGAGAAGGAAATGGCAACCCACTCCAGTATCCTTGCCTAGAGAATCCTATGGATAGGCGAGCCTGGTGGGCTGCTGTCCATGGGGTCGCAAAGAGTCGGACACGACTGAAGTGACTAAGCAGCAGCAGCCCCATCCTCAAGAAGGGGACCAGGATTTGCCCTGCTCATCAGGGCCCTGGGGGGTTTCCCACATGACTGAGCAAGTAATATCTCCACTTTCAGGGCTCTGCTGGGGCAACGGCGGGGGACTCTGGGTTCAGGGAGGTGAGGAGTCCTGGCTTCACAGCGGGACCTGGTGAAGTGCTGCCTGGGGGGACAGCCTGGACAGTAAACCCTATTCCCAGGCTTGAAAACAGACAGGGGGTGAGGAGGAGCCCGTGAGTGGGCCAGGAATGACATGTATTCAATGTGCTGTCACACAGCTGGGACCAGAGCTCTCCAGGACATCCGGGTCTCCTTGGGGAAGACTGGGATCCACGGCGGGGCTATTTAAGGATGCTTCAACCCCAACTCTACTCAGTTAAAGAAACAGCTTGCATTCAGCTTGTGTTCATGTGATCAAAGGGTGGGAAGCCAAGGTCAGGGTCCCACTCTCTGCTCTGGTCTTAACTTGCTTCATGACCTTGGATGAATGACCCCATTTCTCTCTGGGCCCCTCTCACCCCTTTTAAGGAAAATAAAAAAGGCATGCTTCAAAGTGTTTAAGTGCGAAAGAGGATAAAAGATCATATCCGCACCCGTTTTGAAGCACCATGGAAATAAACGCAAAGGTAAGAGATTATTCTTATATGCAGTTATCAAAAGGAGAATGAAGGTGCTAAGAAACCCCTTTAAATCCAAAATAACCTCTTCAAAGGCCGAGTCCCAGTGAAACCTTTTATTGCTGGGTCAGGAAATTGAGCAGGGAATCCAGAGACACAGCGTCCATCAATAACTGAGCTCTCTGAGACACAGAAAGACCCCAACACAGGCACTTTGGGAATTTCAACCATAGGGCAACATCAAGATGAAGAAAAAAAAAATAGTCATAGTACAAAGGAGGTGTCAATTTGAATAAAAAGTGTTGAAAGTATTAGTCACTCAGTCACATTGGACTCTTTGTGACCCTCCAGACAGCAGCCCTCCAGGCTCCTCTGACCATAGAGGATTCTCTATGATTCTAGCATCAAGGATACTAGAGTGGGTAGCCTTTCCCTTCTCCAGGGGATCTTCCTGACCCAGGGATCGACCCCGGGTCTACCTTCACTGTAGGTGGATTCTTTACCGTCTGAGCCACCAGGGGAGCCCCTTTCCCTTTTTCTTCTCACTTTCAGTATGTTAGGAAGTAGGGATTGTTCTATCTCCCTTTTCCAGATGGGAAACGAAATCTCAGAGAGATTGACAGTCTTGCTGCCCGAGGTCATTTGGCTCCTCAGCCAGGGTTTGCGCTTGGGTCGGCCGCCTTTACTCTTCCCCCAGCAAGATATGGACAGGGCAGCCCCTGAAGGCCAGACACACTTTTGGATGAATAAGTGGCTGGTGAATTCGCTCAGTCGTGTCTGACTCTTTGTGACCCCGTGGACTGTAGCTCAAGAGGCTCCTCCCTCCATGGGATTTTCCAGGCAAGAGTACTGGAGTGGGTTGCCATTTCCTTCTCCAGGAAGTGGATGGAGGATATCACAAAAATCACAGACTCTGATGCAATCCCAGCTGGGCCTGGAGACATGAGTAGATTCGGAATCCCATAGGTGACCCAGGCCGAGGGCAGAACATGAGAAAAGCCAAGGGCTTTAGGCGCTGTATGGAGAGACTTACCATCTGAGGACACACCCAGACTCCTGGAAACCAGCTCTAATGGGGGGCCGCCCCTCCAGTGTCACTGGTGGTTAAGACAGGATCACACAGCCCTCCTCTCCAACAGTGGACCTTAGGGCCTTCCAGCTGTCCTTTGACAAAACTTTTACTGCTTTTGACAGGACAATCAAAGGTGCCCAAAGAACATGAATTGTAACTGAAAAACACTCACCCTGGGAGAAGGAAGGGTGATTGGGAAGTCCTATGCCAGCATGAATGGACACTCCCCATGGGCCCATCATTAGAGAAAACTCCCTTTCAAACCCTCAGGGACAGACGTCTACACCTCTCAGACCACCACACAGTGTAGACCCTGGGAGGAGTTGGGTTTGTTGTTGTTCGTTAGCCATTCAGGCCTGTCCAACTCTTTGGCCGCCCCATGGACTGTAACCCACCAGGCTTCTCTGTCCATGGGATTATCCCTGTAAGAACACTGGAGTGGGCTGCCATTATCCTTCTCCAGGGGATCTTCCTGACCCAGAGATGGAACTTGAATCTCCTGCATTAGCAGGTGGATTCCTTCCTGCTGAGCCACCAGGGAAGCCCCAGGAAGTTGGGCAGCATAGCCCAAAAGGAAGGTACAGACAGATTTTGCCAACATAGTAATTTTGGGGAAAACTGATCAGGCTGAGAACAAACAAGATCATCACTCCTGCTCCTCTGGGGTGCTCCTGCATAAACGCTCAATCGCTTCAGTCATGTCTGACTCTCTGCGACCCTAAGGACGTTAGCCCGGCAGACTCCTCTGTCCATGGGATACTCCAGGCAAAAATACTGGAGTGGTTGCCATGCCCTCCTCCAGGGAATCATCCTGATCCAGGGATTGAACATGCGTCTCCTGCATTGCAGGTGGATTCTTCACCGTTGAGCTACCAGGGAAGCCTGCGGGTGCCTCTAAGACTCCCCAAAGCACCTGGGTGCCACTCCAATAAGGCCTCCAGGCTTGGGCGCCCCAGAGCCCATCTGGGAGATGGTGGCACCCCCTGAGCTGGCACCCACCTTGTTGCCGTTGTTGTACATGGCCACCAAGCAGTAGACGTGGTAGACGTGGCTGCACCGGGACAGCTTGCCCACCAGGTCCGGCTTGACCGTCGGCTGGGGGCCCTTGTAGCCCGACGGGGCCGTGAGGCGCTCCATGCAGATGGTGCAGTCCTGGGGCAGGAAAGGGGCAAAGGAGAAAGACCATCAGTTCCCACTCGGGCTGGGAGGCCACAGCACCTCCACGGTCTTCCGGCATGATCTCAGCAGCCAAGGGGCCTGTTACTGCTTCTCTTCCAGAAAGCCCACAAACCAGGGAACACAGGCCTCTGGGAATCTAGACAGAATTCTGTCTTCTTTGGCACAGCAGAGTAACTCTTGAACTAATACCTGATGGTGATACATGCTAATTTAGGCTGCCATACAGAATGACAGCCCCTCCTTGGGGGCTGTGACTGTCCTTCCGTGGGGTCCCTCAGTGGTCTGTGGAGGAAGCCACTTGCTGATTTGACCCACTGACCGTTTGCTTACTTAAGCGGGACATTTGAAAAGGAACTGTATTTGAAGTGCCCTGGAGAGGCTGCAGCACGCTTCAACATTTGGGGCCGGATAACTCTCTGCTGAGGACGTCCCTGGTGGTTAAGAATTCACCCGCCAGTGAAGCGGACACGGGTTTGATCCTGGTCTGGAAAGATTCCATACGCTGCAGGGCAACTAAGCCCGCACACGGCAACTACTGAAGCCCTGTGTTCCATAGCCTGTGGTCTAGAACAAAGGAGGAGGCGGCAGAGAAAGAGATGGTCAGAGAGATCGCATCGCCAGCTCAATGGACATGACTCTGAGCAAACACGGGGACAGAGGAGCCTGGCTGGCTCCAGTCCACGCGGCTGCAAAGAGTCAGCCGTGACTCAGCGACTGAACAAACAGTTCTTCACTGTGGGTCCTGTCCTGGGCCTTCTGAGTAAGGTGGTGGGTTCAGCAGCATCTTTGGCCTTGGTTTGCTGGATACCACCAGCATCCCCCCTTCCCTCCAGTTCTATAAAATCGCCTCTGGTTAAGAATCTCTGATCGCCATCAAGCCCATTTTTAAGTCGGTTCCCATAACTTATCACACTGCTTTGCTTAAATTCACAGTAAGGTAGTTGAGCATCAGTCAGCGATTTGCTGAACAGGCAGGTGTGAGAGGTTAAGCCATAGCTGTGGCCCAGGACATCCACTCCGACCAGCTCTGCATCAGTTGGAACCCAGAAAGCAGCGCCAGCTGCCTCCTGCAGAAAATTGGCCGAAGAGATGACTCGGGAGGTGGGGAGGATGAACCCTGACCCGGTGACTCTGGACTCACCTCGTCTGGCGGATGCCGGACTTTCTGCAGATACTTCTTCAACACTTCTTCTGGGGTTTTCCCTGTGGGGACAGGATGGTCAGTGGGTCGCCAACACAAGCTGGACATGCCAGAGAGAGGGGCGTTGTTAGCCAGGTTCAGAGCTTTCAGAAAAGAGGAGGAATCATCGCGCAGTTGGATTTAAGAATGGAAACGGGACACAGGGGTGGAGGCGGGAGCTAGGTGGTCTGAGGTGGGAGGTGTTTACGTCCGTCTTATCTCCTGCGGTCACTGCGCTGACACCAGCCTGCCTAATCGCAACAAATCCACTTTTTCAGTGTCACGGGCCGAGTGGGCTTCCCTTCCCCACCATCAAAGAACCTGGACCTGCCCAAAGGCTGCATCGAGCTAACAGTAATGAAAGTACTCTGTAAAGAGTTGCACGTTTTCAAACATTGGGCTGGTTTATGGCATTCGTTTCACGATGTGCTAAGGACTGTGTTGATCTGTAACGTGGCATCAAAGCGCCATCATTTTTATGGGAAACTAGGACTTGACCGCAGCTTTCTGACTGTCTTCCTCCTGCCGATGGTGCCGGTGCTCTCTGCCCAGCCGTAGGGAGACGGTGATGTGTCCTGGCAGGGGCAGTGACTCTGGGATCTGGGGGTAGGGGGAGCCAGGCCCCTGAGAGGCAGCCTGGACTAGGAGCAGGGGTTGGCATGAGACAGCTGTGCCAAGGGGCAGAGAAGGAATAAAGGGTTGGAGCCCCCTTGGCCTGAACGTCTCTGAGCTTGTATTTCTCACCTAGACAGCGGGCAAGAACAATAGCACCTGCTCGGAGGGGCGCTCCGACAGTTAAACGCGCTAACGCACGGGCAGCCCTGCCGCACGTGGCCGGCTGAGAGTTGGGTAAGTGCTATTAATACTAACAGGAAGAATGGGAAAGCGCAAAATCCTGTCATTTCCTATGAGACCGCCAGGAAGGCAAGTGAGTTCATTTTAGCAGAGAAAGTTGATAGACTGGAAAAGTAGGACAGGGTTTCACCAAGTGGCTCCTCCAACGTCCAAAAGCTGGGGTGCAGGCCCTCCCTTCCCACTGCCCTGCTTCACTTACAAGAATTAAGCTTCTGTCGACTGAGAGCCTATTGCTTGCTGAGCTAAGTTATAACACGCATATGATCCCACTGAAACGTCACCAGTCTGCAAGGGGAGAGCTTAGGGCTGACGGTCGAATCATTTCGAAACTGATACTAGAGACCAGGGGTTTCCCAGGTGGTGTGCAAGCGGTAAAGAATTTGCCTGCCAAAGCAGGAGATGCAGCTTCGATCCCCGGGTCGGGAAGATCCCCCGGACGAGGAAATGGTAACCCGCTCCAGGATTCCTGCCTGGGAAATCCCCTGGACAGAGGAGCCTGGCTGGCTACAGTCCATGGGGTCACAAAGAGCCGGACAGGACTGAGCGACTGAACACACACACACACACACACACACACACACACACACACACATGCACGCACGCACACACACACACA